CATTGACGACCGCCACGAGGGATCTGGGAAAGGAAGGAAGGCGAATTAAGATAAGAATTTACATAATATTTATTAGATAGCCAATTTTTGATTTGTTAATATATGTGAAATATGCCAAAACAGTGAATGAGAATGTAAATGGACGAGCTTTGTCGTTTTGTCGTACTTCGATCATTCCACATTAATTTATGTGGAGTGATGTATGAACTTATTTTCCAAAGTTTTTTGTAACTACTATTTCGGTTTTCTATACAAAATAAATACAGTTTTTTTTTATGTTTCGAGTCCTTGAGAAAGAATTCGTTAGAGTACCTACACTGTTTGTTTTTCAGTTCAAGATAGGTGCGTCGCAGGCACACTGTCTAAACACAATTTTTTTTAAATATTCAAAAAAATATCGTTTGTTCCTTTTCCAATCAGTCCCCTTCCAAAGATTATAGACTCTAGTATATCTCCACTGCTTTTCGTCGTTTGTACCTACACAGTTTGCTTTTCAGTTCAAGATAGGTGCGTAGCAGGTACAGTGTCTAGACACAATTTTTGCGAGATTTTCAAAAAAGTATCGTTTGTACCTCTTTCCAATCAGTCCCCTTCCAAAGATTATAGTCTCTAGTATACCTCCACTACGTTCCATCGTTTGTACCTTCACAGTTTTCTTTTAAATTCAAGTTAAGTGCGTAGCAATTTGTCGGCTGTAGTCACAGCAAGCTCCGCCTCTCGTGGCGAGGGCGCCACTAAAACAGAAGCAACCATCTACGCCACATAGCAGAGAGATCTATCTCTCTCTTCCTCTCTTGTCTCTTGCCACTTTACCTGCGTCTCGTCTCTCGCTAACACGCTACTCTCGAGAACGGTTCGTTTTCCTACTTGCCTTTGTCTTGGCGTTTTTGTTTTCAATTGAATACGGAGAGGTGTTTGATCAGGGAATTCAGAGTTCACTTTTGTAATTAATGAGGTGTAGCGGAGTTGCGCAGTGTTACGTATTAAAAGTTATTCAGTCACTTAAAACAAAGAGGTGTGTTCAACTTATTCGATCGCCCGTGAAACGTCCTCATCCTCATCTTCCATCTAAAAAGTCCGCCACAATTACAACGCATACACACAATTTTTTCGAGATTTTCAAAAAAGTATCGTTTGTACCTCTTTCCTATCAGTCACCTTCGAAAGAGTATAGTCTCTAGTACATCTCCACTGCGTTCCATCGTTTGTACATTCACAGTTTTCTTTTCAGTTCAAGATAGATGCGTACCAGTTACGGTGTCTAGACACAAATTTTTCGAGATTTTCAAAAAAGTATTGTTTGTACCTCTTTCCTATCAGTACCCTTCGAAAGAGTATAGTCTCTAGTACATCTCCACTGCGTTCCATCGTTTGTACCTTCACAGTTTTCTTTGAAATTCAAGATAGATGAATAGCAGGTACAGTGACTAAACACAATTTTTTCGAGATTTTCAAAAAAGCATCGTTTTTACCTCTTTTAATCAGTCCCCTGCGAAAGAGTGTAGTCTCTAGTGCAACTCCACTGTGTTCCATCCTTTGTACCTACAGTTTTCTTTTCAGTTCAAGATAGATGCGTAGCAGGTACGGTGTCTAGACAAAATTTTTTCGAGATTTTCAAAAAAGTATCGTTTGTAACTCTTTCCTATCAGTCCCCTTCGAAAAAGTGTAGTCTCAGGTGCATCTCCACTGTGTTCCATCATTTGTACCTACAGTTTTCTTTTCAGTTCATGATAGGTGCGTAGCAGGTACGGTGTGTAGACACAAATTTTTGAGATATTCAAAAAAATATCGTTTGTACCTCTTTGCAATCAGTCGCCTTCGAAGATAGAATCCCGAGAAGGTCAGAATAATAGAACGGAATCACCGAATACTAATTATTCGGGTATCAATATAGTGGAACGATTAGTGGAACACTTACGCGGTAGTAAAATAGATCTTCCAATATCAAAATTTTCTGATATTCATGAAAAAAATCCTCAGCAATTTTTAAAAGAGCTTGAGCGGTATTGTCAGGTCAAAGATGTGACTTCTGAAAATCAATTCACTGTGATAGAAATGTGTTTAAAAGGAAGAGCTTTAAATTGGTTTCTTATAAAAAAGGATGAATTTAGGAATTACCGGGATTTTGAAATAAAATTTGAAGAAGAGTTTTATTCCGTACCTGTTAGGATTAGATTGAAGAGTAGGTGGCAGGAAAGACGATATAAATTATCTGATGGTAATATGCTAACATATTTTTATGAACAAGTGAAAGCCGCACAATATTTGTCTCCACGGATTGGTAATTATGAGATTCATTATACTATTATTCAGCAATTGCCCGTTCGTGTTCGCGAGATTTTGGTCACCGTCGATTACGCGGATGCTACTATTATTGTGCAAGCTCTAGAACAACTTGCTAAATCTCGGAAATGGGAAGCGGAAAGAAATAAGGCTGGTCCAAGTAAAATCCAAAATGAAGTACCTAACAAAAGAAATATTGGTCAAATTAATTTAATTGAAGCTAGACAGAATGTTGCACCTTATAGTCGTCGTCGTAGGGGGAATGCTAATTGGAACAATCAAAGTGAGAATCGAGGTGGGCAAGGTTCGCAATCGCAGGGGGCACAAAATAGTAGCCTTCCTGACACACGATTCCCCCCACCGCCGATTACCAATTTTGGATCACAAAATCAAAATAATATACAAAAGAATAATTTAAACTAATTGTGGGTGCGATGAGTACCGGTCCAGCTCCGCACCCTCATAACCATGATTATATTTTTGAATTTGAGAAGGACCTAGATGGCCATAAACCCACTGATGATAATGGTGCAAGGGAGGCATGTCCGTGTTTATCTTTATTAATTAATGTGCAAGGAATGACGTATGCCTCATTGGTAGATAGCGGAAGTCAAATAACATGTGTGTCGGAACAATTTTATATGCAAGTAGCTAAACAGTGTGCGATGTTAGAGCTTCAGTAACAAATTTACAGGTCCTCACAGCTATTGGGCGAAAATTTACTAGAATACGTAAACAAATTTCTATCACATTTAGTGCAGGAGATATTGTTGATGAACATGTGTTCTTTGTAGTTCCGGATTTAACCTCACACGTAATCCTAGGAACTGACTGGTTACATAAGGTGGGAGCCGTTTTGGATTACAAGACTAAATCGTTTGTTATAAGGACTGTGAAAATTCCATCGGAGTTTACGGGGTTCGGGGATGTTGCGTCCACGAAGTTATTTGTCACGCCCTTGGAAGTTACCCGTTCACAACCACAGGGGGAAAGTCAGTTTTCAAATAATTATCCTGGTCAATATAATTTGAAGGATCATTCGTATTTTCCATTGTGTTTACAGACAGAAGAAAGAAAGGAGAGTTGTCGAATAAATAGTATAGAAACGAATACTCCAAGTATTTCTTGTTCTTATAGTAAACTGGAAAGTTTACAAGATAAAAATAGTACTGATGATTTAAATGATTCAATGTGTCTTTCTAGATTATTTTGTCAAGGGGATACGCTGGTTGGCTTTGAGAGCGACCAAAGCGAAGAATGCCCTGTTATTGAAACTGAAATATATGTTCGAAATTATGAATTAGGGATTAATGATATTAATTATGTTGAAACGGAAGAAAAAAACATTACATGCTTAACAGAGAGAAGAGATGTAGAAAAGAATAGAGATCAAAGTGATTGGGCCAGTAGAATAAAATGTAATACCCTAGATCAGGAGTATATTTTAAAGGATAATGTAAATAGTGTAGATAACAGGTTTATACCTCCGAAACTCCAAACAGAGGCAGAGTGGGATGGTGATTTTGTGGACGTAGTAACCGCGATCGCGCATAAGCTAACCCTAGTCGACTCTGAACAGAAAAATCAGTTTGTACAATTAATGATAAAGCATCGACAACTATTTTCGGATAAGCCTGGTGCTGTCACGCATTATGAGCATGAGATACGATTACGAAAAAATAATCCATATATTAGGCGATCGTACCCAGTCCCTTTAGCGAAACGTCCTGCGGTTGAAAGGTAACTGAAGAACATGTTGGAATTAGGCATCATTGAGAGATCAACAAGTCCTTATTGCAACCCACTACATGTAATACCCGTTCTTGACAAACAGGCGGGGCAGCAAGGTCTTCCGTCCAACCGAAGCCTAAACATTTGTATAGACGTAATGAGCAAACAAATGTGTGTATTCAAATAAATTTCAAAGTTATAACAAATGCATAGAAATATTGAGTAGTTATACAAGGAGAGTTCTGGACCAAGATTCCTGCACCGACATATTACCGACCTGTGGGTTCTCATCCGTGCTAAGTTGGGACGTGGTGCCCCCTAGGTGAGCGACGTTGGCGCCCCCTGGGTGAGCGACGTTGGCGCCCCCGTAGGTGAGCGACGTTGGCGCCCCCTGTGTGTGTATGTGTACGGTAAGTTAGGGTGATGGGGCCCCGTATGAAAGATTTCTGTTTACCGACGGGCCCGAAATTTTTTTTGAAGAGGGTGCTGCGCCCGCAGTAGTCGACGGCGCCGACCCCTTCATCGGTTGACGTTATCGGCAGGGGGTCCTAGCTTTACGTCAGGTGTCAGGGATTTTACGTCAGACGTCAGGGGTTTTACGGCAGATTTCAGAAATATTACGGCAGATTTTAGGAATTTTATATCAGACGTAATTGAGTACATTGACCTTTTGTACTTGCGATCCCGAGGCAGCTCCTACCCTTTACACTTCCCCGCAGACTAGCATGTAAAGTCGGTGGAGATCAAGAATGATCCTTTGTATGTCACCGAAGAATTCCGATGACATTTCATCATCGTCATAACCCCCCTGTTCCTCTTCCGCCTTCTTCGCCACTATCGTTCCGTTACGATACAGTGGCCTTGGAGAGACGGTAAAATCAAAGGAGGTGTCGAATAACCCTTTGTACGTTGCCGAAAAAATTGTTTACAATAATT